CTACCCCTTACAGGAAACTTTGTGCATTTTTAGATTTTCAAAAAACTTAATTCTGTGTGATTTATTAGCTTGTTTACCCGTGGGGACCTCAATTTAGAGTCCCCGTGAGTCTGTGTGTATTCAGGTTTAAGTCCCCACCAGAATAGAAAAACAGGTACACACGCAAACACACACACACACTGACACACACACACTCAAACACACACACACACACACGCACGCACACACACACACACACACTGACACACAGGATAAATTAAAGAGATCTTGCAGGCTGTGTATGTGTAGTTGAATGGAAAGGAAATGGAACCTTAAAGAAGATTAGTTGGTTAGGTCACCAATGAGGGGGTGTTTCTTCAAGCACAGGCACAGGCACTTTTGACTGATTCATTCAGAATATAAACTCTCTTGAAACACACTTTTCACAATCCCGCTAGTTGTTCACTAATATTGTCCAACAATGGACATATGTACATCACAGGAAGATTTTTATTAATTATTTCCCCCCCTCTGAAGTAGCATGAATATTTCCACCACAATGCTATTTCCACCACATCTAAAATTATATACATGTATTATGTTTAATAACCTTCTGTGGTGGCAATACACTGTGCTGTAAAAGACATTTTATATTTTACAATACATTACAACAACAACAACAACAAAAAGCATTTGCACAAAATTACAATTTCAGCTTATCTAACTTAAATGGCCAAGCTTTTTGTGCCCTTAGAGATTAAATACTACTTATGTCCAACAAAAGTTCAATTTAACTGTCTATTTAGTGCTTCGGGAAATCCAGGAACTATCATATTACATTCCATTTTGACAGGGTTAAAAACACTGCTCGAGTATTATCGGCTTCAGTGGATGCTTCCTAATGTTTGATTTGTTCTCTGTTTACAGTCTCTCATCAGTTTAATAATGACTTCACATTCATTGGCACAGACTAATGCTCTGCCAGCCAAAGATGTCAGTTTTACCTGAGCGGATATATTAGAAAAGAAA